TCCATCAAGTTTAAAGTTTACTTTTATCATTTTTATATATATATATATATATATAGTTATTTATTTTTTCCCTGTCTGTGTATTTTTTGTATCCTTGATGAAGGGGAATTTGTGACCCCCCAAAACACGTTGGCTGCCTTCTGTCTTTTGGCTGCCACATGCTGAAATAATAAAGACCTTGGATTCCTCAGACATTTGTTTGGTGCTCATTTTGGCTGTGGCAGGGAACCCACAGGTAATACTGGTGATTTGCCCTTTGCCTTCTGCTTGCCTTTTCTTTGGGCACAGCTTCCTGAGTTCAGGTCATCTTTCACCACTTGCTGACCAGGTATTTACACCCCCTTCCTGCCCAGGCCATTTCTCAGTATTCAGCGCTGCGGTACTTTGGCTGACGTTTATTCCATCATGCAACGCTGTACTGAAATTCATTTTATACCATTTTTGGGGGGACAGATGGAGCTTTCTTTCTTGGTGGTATTTAATCACCACTGGGGGTTTTATTTTTTACTATACAACAAAAAAGTACTGATAAAAAAAAATAAAATGGTTTTCCCTTTATTATTTTAGGAAACATTTATTTTTACCTGATTTTTTGCTAAAATATAAAAGTCGGGGTCACGTCGGGTAAATAGACACCAAACATGCCAAGCCTTAAAATTGAGGCGCGCCCACGAAATCGCAAAGAAACACCATAGCCAAAATTGGTCAGAGGCGACGCTTTAAAAGATTTTACCGCTCATCAGTTTAGTGTTATCAGTGATTGATGGCCCTAAAATTATTGCTCTCATTGCGACGTTCGCGGCGATATGTAACACGTGCGGTATAATTGGAGCAATCGTCGTTTTTGCGTGTAGGTCGGCGGGTGTGTGGCATGTTGGTAAGATAGATGATGCACGGGCCGGTGTGCGCAAGCGCACACTGCCCGTTCAGCATTGCGGTCATCGGAAGCCCGCCCCTCAGCGGGCTTGCGATTATCGCAAGTACGATCTGCCTGTCCAAGATGGGCAGATCGTACGTTTTTTAAATTACCTTACAGCTATCCCAAGACAAACGTCTTGCGATGGTTGTAAGGTGTGTGCCCAGCATTAGGCTCTGTGTGTCCTTCTGTGTGCTTCCTGTTTGACTTAAATAGGTCCACATCAATTCATATCTAGGATCACAATTTTTATACAACTTTAAAAAGACAGCACATAGCAGGATCATGGCCTGCAAAAGAGTTTTAATGGGCCTTATTCTAAAGAGTGTCTTTAAACCGTTCTCAAAATTAGGCCTAATAACACATTACCTGATTTTAGACCATTTAAGTTGAATTTTGCTTTGTACAATGATTTAACGGACATTGCCATTTTATAAAAAAAAAAAAAAAAAAAAAAGGTTATTTTAAAAGATATATGACCACACACACATTGAGTGAAAATAAGTTTATATATTATACATATTTATATACACAAAACATGATAACATGATATATGAACGTCTATAGCTTTACCACACTTTGAGTTCTTTACATCTCAAGCAGTGGTTTTGTTCTGGTAGTTACACAAAGCATTTTATTCAGAAAAAAAGGAATTAAAAGAAGCTTCATCTTAAAAACAGCAATTCACCACATGGGGTTAATCCTTCGAAAGTGAATTGGAATAAAAAAAAAAAAGAAGTATTTTAAGAACATGGCCATCCTTCAGAAGGACCAAGTAAGTCAAAGGTAAAGATCACACTGATGACGGATATCTAGCTATAGGAGGCAGTACCATACTACAAACATTGGTCAGACTAATGCCCAAACAAGAGAACATGTCTTCATCTATGCAGCAGACCTTGAGGCATCCTAATTGCATGAACACTACCAAGAACTATCATGGTCATTTTGTCTCCATTCAAACCAGAGGAAAAATAAAGTGTCAATTAATATAACAATAAAATTATGCAAAATGTTTCATTTCTAATCATACAAGATGGTACACTAAGGTCTATTACATTTGTTTACAGTAAGGAGTATTTTGCATGTTTAATAACCGAGTGGGCACTTTCCTCCATATATGATATATCACCACATGGTATTTCAAGTACACAAATCCATAAGAGTGAATAAATCAAAATCTTCAGCGTACAGGACCACAAACGTTTCTCAGGTGGTAAAGCACTGGACTTGGGATATTTTTTTCCATCCCCCAATACGTGAACTGCTCTCCCTACATTTATGAAAGCTGAATATATTTAAGTGCTGTTTTGTTGTTTTAAAAGGGTTTGATTCAACTGTATCCAAACAAGAGATAACTACATTGGTAAGATGTGGCTATCAATATATTACATCTGTAGACATTGAAGCTTATAAACTAACAATTCCCTTTAACATTTCTAAATGGTTTGTAGCAGCGGCTGAATTTTCAGTGATGCACGAGGCACACTGAGTGTTGTCATAAATGTTTGCATTGACGTACAGTACTAAGTGATACAACTACAACTCGTACCTTTCACTGCATAGTAAGATTTTCTTCTTTTGTAGGACTATACACAGCCAATAGTATTATTTTAGTGCAAAATAACAATTTCAGATTGTACATATATCGGCCTTACAGCCAAGCTCTTTTATAGCTTTGTTCAGTACCATTTTTTATACTTTTATATCTACATCTTAGGCCTCCAACCATTAATAAACTGTAATATCTTTTTGACCTGCAGTTTGCTTAATTTAAAGTCTTCTGAAAGAATCTCCTCTGTTAACTGGACCAGTAAATTCCCATCAATCTTTTCTGAAACAAAAAAGGACACAACATCTTCTGACAAACCAATAAATCGAAGCGATTTTGATACCTCTTCAATTGACAGTCCAGAAAGGTCAGAGGGCGGCTGCCAGGGAGAGCCATCGCCACATGACCTGGGGGCTAGTTGCATGTGAAGAGGAGAGGAAAATGGGTATGAAATAGAGAAAATATCCTGCATGCCCTTTTTAGCCATATAGTGTTCTTCTGTAATATCAGGCGAGCAAGTCTGGGATTCTTCCTCTGCTCCATCTATTTTCATAGACAAGGAGAGTGGCTCTTGGGCTGTGTTAACATCATTTGACTTAGGTGCCCGTGGGGGTAATGCTGGACAGGACAAACTTTGTTTTGTGCGGTTATCAGATAGAACATTCTCAGTGGAGCTTTCCAGCGAGTAGCTTGCAGACTTTGGGCACCCTGCAGAGATGTCAGCAAATTCATTTGGTGTCACTTGTGGACAACCTGATAAAGAATCTCCCACACTAAAATCAAATGGGGATGGAAAACTTCTCTTTGGCGTGGCTGGGGTCTTTTGTCGAGGATAGCTGTAATAACTGCGGCACTGTTCTGTAAGCAAGTCCTTTGCGTTCATACCTTCAGCCCCACCACAATAACGGTTTGGCCAGGACAGGCGAGAAGGAAGGGGTTCAGATGGTGCTGTCCCGCAAGACAAGGAGCTTTCAAGATCATTTGTCTCATTCTTGATCCAATTACAGGGATAGCACGAAACCTGGGCATTGTCCGAAGAGGCGGGTACTTCATTCTCTGTGACACCTCTGGAAAGAAAGGTTCAAAGATTAAGTATGCACAACCATAACATTATAATATAAGTCCATGGCATATACATGTCACAGGATGTGCACCTATATCTGAATGGGATGGAAGAGAATGTCTTTAGGCGACTAAATTATCATAAACATCTACTGATCCTCAGTTTCTAGTGTTCAGTAATGAACAGAGATATATTTTTCCACTTCACACACCCATAAACTTTTTTATGATTATTCAGACACAAAGCATGTGGTTGACTGCACCACCATCAGCAAAGATGGTGACAGAAACCAGCTGAACTTCTTCCTAGTGCCAGATATCTGTACCAAGTGTGCTGGTCTTCCAAACCATATTTTCCATACAAAATGCACCAAAATTATCCAATAATATTCCTCCACTCAGGGTTTGACCTGAATTTGCCTGATTAAAAGCCTCTCAATGTAGCAATGGGGGATGTTTATACTTAAAGTTCTAGTTCTAAATGGGACACTTTTTCCCCCCTTTCCAAAAATGTTAGAAATCATAATAAATTAAATAATAATATTTAATTGCAAAACAATAAAGCTCATTATTTACTTTCTTACTCTAGGGTCTATGTATAAAGTATTCACTGCGTGATTAGCACATCCTATGTTTGCTGGACTTTTGCCCATCTGTTTTGTTTTTTTATTGAACATGCCCATCATATTTAACAATATTCCCCCATTAGTAGTCACATACAACTTACAGTGAGGGAGATTCCAGTAGCAAGATTTGTTCATCAAATGCAACAAGATTCACCCATCAGCAGTTGCATACAACATAAGAGAGAAATTGTAGTAAATAACAAGATTTGCTCATCAGCTGCCACATTATACATAGGGCAAAAACGTAAATAAATTATGGGCTAATCCACTTTAAAATGATGGCCAAATGGGTGAATCATGTTATTAGAATTTCTCTATTATGTTGTATTCAGCTGTTGATGGGCAAACGTTTTTGAATTTAAATGTGATGCGGGAATCTTGTTTGTTATTAGAACGTCTCTATTATACACTGTGTGCACAATTATTAGTCAAGTGAGTATTTTGACCAAATCACCAATTTTATGCATATTGTCCCAACTCCAAGCTGTATAAACTTGAAGGCTTATTGGATTTAAGCATATCAGGTGATGTGTATTTGTGTAATGAGGGAGGGTGTGGCCTAAGGAGATTAACACCCAATATCATGGTGTGCATAATAATTAAGCAGCTTCTTTTCCTCAGGCAAAATGGACCAAAAAAGAGATTTAACTGACCCTGAAAAGTATTTCAGAGGGATGCAGCACTCTTGAAATTGCTAAGATATTGGGGTGTGATCACAGAACCCTCAAACGTTTTGTTGCAAATAGTCAACAGGGTTGCAAGAAACGTGTTGAGAAAGAAGGACGCACATTAACTGGCAAAGATTTGAGAAGAATCAAACGTGAAGCTACAAGGAACCCATTATCCTCCAGTGCTGTCATATTCCAGAACTGCAACCTACCTGGAGTGCCCAGAAGTACAAGGTGTTCAGTGCTGAGAGACATGGCCAAGGTAAGGAAGGCTGAAACCCGACCACCGCTGAACAAGACACATAAGTTGAAACGTCAAGACTGGACCTTGAAATATCTGAAGACAGATTTTTCAAAGGTTTTATGGACTGATGAGATGAGTGATTCTTGATGGACCAGATGGATGGGCCCGTGGCTGGATCAGTAACGTGCACAGAGCTCCACTTAGACTCAGACGCCAGCAAGGTGGAGGTGGGGTACTGGTGTGCTGGTATTATTAAAGATGAGCTAGTTGGACCTTTTCGGGTTGAAGATGGACCCAAAATCAACTCTCAAACCTACTGTCAGTTTTTAGAAGACACTTTTTTCAAGCCATGGTACAGGAAAAAGTCTGCATCTTCCAAGAAGACCATGATATGTATGCAGGACAATGCTCCATCGCATGCATTAAAGTACTCTCCTGCGTGGCTAGTCAGTAAAGGCCTTAAAGATGAAAGAATAATGACATGGCCCCCTTCCTCACCTGACCCAAACCCTATTGAGAACTTGTGGGCTCTTCTTAATACGGGAGATTTATGGTGAAGGAAAACAGTACACCTCTCTGAACAGTGTCTAGGAGGCTGTGGTTGCTGCTGCACAAAAAGTTGATCGTCAACAGATGAAGAATCTGACAGACTCCATGGATGGAAGGGCTTATGACTGTTATTGGAAAGAAGGGGGGCTATATGGGTCACTGATTTTGTTTTTGAAAATACCAGAAATGTTTATTTGTAAATTTTGAGTTGTTTGTTTAGTATTCTCACTTTAACAGATGGAAATAAACAAGTGAGATGGGAACATTTTCGTTTTCCATTTAGTTGCATAATAATCCTGCACACTAATAGTTGCCCAATAATTGTGCACACATAGATATTCTCCTAAGAAAGCCAAAACCTCACTTTTACTTTGTTAAATATTCCGGTTTGAGGTTTATTAACATTTTGGATTGACCGAGAGCACTGTAGTTGTTTAATAATAAAATGAATCCTCAAAAATACATCTTGCCTAATAATTGTGCACACAGTGTATTATATATAAATACAGAAGGGTAAATCTTGGTAAATGTGATGGGCAAATTCTCTTTAAAAATGATGGGTGAATAGGGTGAATCATTTTTGAAAATCATGACAGAGTAGTGCAAATCTTCTGACAATTATGGGCAAATCCCCCAAAAAGCAAATGAATGAATGTCAAGCAAATTTAATGCCACATAAGGTACAGCAAATCCTTTTTAAATAGACCTCATAGCATTGTCCTTGGGGGGAAAAATGATTACAGGCAGCCCCCGGGTAACGAAGATAGGGACTGTAGGTTTGTTCTTAAAGGAGAACTATGAGGTGAGTGCTTTTCTCTCACCTCATAGTTCTAGCCGACCTGTGACAATGAGACTGTCACAGGTCGGCTCAGTAGATCGGGAGGTGAGCGAACCTCTCGATCCTGTCAAGGCTGGATTCGCCCCTCCCCGCTCCGCCAGCGCTGACTGGCGGAACGGACGGGGGAGGGAGCGGGTACAACTGGCTCTGCCTCTAGATAGGCAGAGCCAGCTGTCAGTCATGCAGCTGGGTGGATCCCGGCACAATTGTCGGGATCCGCTTCAGCTGTGGCGTCTTAGTATACTGCGAGCAGCTGCTCGCGGTATACTGCGGCATCTCAGTATAGGTGTCTCCCGTCACCCTAAGCTCAGTATACCGCGAGCTGTAGCTCGTGGTATACTGAGCTTAGGGTGACGGGAGGACGCTAGTTTGTGTCCTCCCGTTACCCTGAGGAGAACTATGGGGAAAAGACTTAACCCCATAGTTCTCCTTTAAGTTGAATGTGTATGTATGTGGGAACAGGTAAATTTTTTAAGTGTAACTCCAGCCCCAATTTTTTTTTTTTGGATCGCATAGGGAAGGGTTAACCCCCTGTAAAGTTTGTTTTGCTGTGTGTGCCCCTGTTCAGAAGATTTCACCTCACTTTCTGTCCCTGTGACAATTGGATTTTGAAAATGTTGGGTTGTCGTGGAAACAAGGATAAAGCTTTCGTGGAGACACCTTTTTTTCCCATGATCACTCTTACAGGAGTGAATTTCCCTTCCTAGGGGTAGATTTGCTTTCACTTCCTGTTGTCTCAAGTACAGGAAGTGAGATTAAATCTTTCTAATGAGGATACAGACAGCAGTAAAAATCTCACAGTGACCCGGAAGAAGAGCCGGGCACCCGTCGTCTGCACGTCTGACAAGAGACAACTTCCTGTAATGTCCGTACAGTACTACAAACCAGACCCAAAAAGGCGGGCACTCCTCGCCGGCACGAGCGCGGTAGCATTACAAGTACCCCTGCTGTACAGTAATAGCCTCTGTTTCTAAGTAGGAGTCGTATGTAAGTGGGATGTATGTAACTCGGGGACTGCCTGTATAACATTACTAACTGCTAATTTTATTTTGTATTGTATCATAGCAGATACGTCCAGTAAATGTGAAGAGAGAGAATAGGTTGGGAGCAAGAGTGTATATAGGGATAAGATGTAATGGGGAAGGGTTGGATGGAGGAGAAATATTGAAGGTATTTGAATTTAGGAAACTCTGAAGTAGTTAGTTTTGATGTAGAGGAGATTACCTGTATTTTTTCTGTTTTTTTAGCAAATAGCAAAAAGCATATTTTTTGAAAGCACACAAGCTGTCCCCTGCATTATTCGATATATTTGCAGTATGACACTAATAATACTAAATGAAAACTCAAAATAAACTATTAACATTCTTCTAGCCAAAACGTGTGCACTTTTGGTCTGCATAACTTTCAGCTTGCCTGGAAGACACATCAACATTCCAATATCATCTGCTGACCGCACTCGTTTGTCTATATGATAATGTATTAGCGGCCGCTTTATATTTAATTTTCTGTAAGAGGCCATGATCAATAATGCACTAAGATTTAAGACAGCATTACAAATTATGAATAAAGCTGGTTGGTCTTTAACTAAAAATAATGTTTGAGATGAGCTGTGCTTATAACAATGTACTGTATAAAGGAGTTAACGTTTTATTAAAGGGGCAGCAACCTAAAAACATGGGTTGCATCTTACAAATTCTAAATAATTGCAATTAAAGACCAATTTGATTTCACCAGTATTTTCTCAGCTCCATTCCGGTCACAAAGCTAAGTTAGAGCCACTTATCAGGCAGTTCCTATGGTAAGTATTGGACAAGGTAATCACTTTACCTCCTGTACACAGTGGAGGATAGTGCACAAGGCTGCAGGAACTAAATCTCTGCAAATGCTTTGCAAAGCCCTAAAGCGCGACCTGTGTCATGCAGCCCTGGCAGCCATTAGTTTTCGCTGCCTGGGTGCTTAATCAGAACTTCTAATTGTCAGAGGACTTGGCACAGTATGAGAAAAATTCCTAGGTTACCCTATGGCTTTGTCATGTGACCTGTGATGTAATGAAAGAGCCTAGGAATGCCAGCTTTTACGCTCTGCCAGGTCCAATGATAATGAGGGCAGTTAGAGAAAACACAATACCCGCTCTGCAGCTGCTGCATCATACTACAGCGCTCACAGTGCCAGAATGGTACCTTCAGAGAGGGTGCTGCACTGCACTACAGTATTCTCACCAACAGAGGTTCTGTATTATACTACAATACCCTCACTGTTAGAGTTTCTGCATCATACTATAGTACCCCCACTGCCAGAGATGCGGCCATGTTTTATATGGTTGCAATGCTACTCTTAACCTGGAGAGGGCTCATTGTATTAATCATAGTTATAGTCCCATAGTCGATAATAAATGCTTTTCCTTTTCTGTACAGCAATTCTAACCTTTACATTCATTAGTGAATGTCATTCCTATACATTCATTGCTTCTCATGCAACTCTCACATTCCGGTGACCTAATAAAAGTCTTGTCATTTTTTTCTGCAGGCTAAATAATGCTTTCAGTGCTTATGTTGCTTTGATAATGTTACATTTAATGCAAGTCTGACTTCACAGACCGTCTTGAATTCACCTACAGTTCTTCATTTCTGCTGAGCTTTACATTATAATGCAATTCTCAGCAGTTTAGCTGAACTTTGGTAAAGAAGAGAGACAGATAATGTTTACAGAGACTGGTGGTACTCACATGCTGTGCAGCCCTGAGGAATAGTAGGAAAGCGTAGGACTGGGAGAGCGTGTTTGTTGCCGTGCTATTTTTCCTGTTGGCGGTGGAACAGATGGGGTGGGGGACGATGGTTTGGAACTGCGTGGAGGCACAGGTGGAGCATTCAGAAGTCTGCATTCTTCTTTTACCTAGGAGGGAAGAAGTCCACATTTATAAATCATTGAAGCAATGACATAACAGTGAAAAAAAAAGACTTTCTAACTTTGAACGTAATGTCTTTCATATAACGTATTTACATATGTTACATGTAACGTGCCATCGCTGCAGCACACATTTCATGAGAGAGAAACCTTTCCAAAATTCCTTCTGAAATTCTTAGTTGCCTGGATGTAATGCTAACTCTGTGGTGTCAACACTTCACGCAGTCACATCATGCAAAACAAGTATGCAGATCAGGAAAGTGAGAGAAGCCATGAACACTAGGTCTGGGTTAGTAAGGCAAAGTGCAGAAACATGAGGATCAGCATGACATCCAGGCAAACTGCATCAGCAGAATGAGAATCCAACAAAAGTATCTCCCAGGGAAAGGTTTCCATATACCGTATTCTAAAAGCAGAGACCAGGGAGAATAAAATGGTGGCAGTTGCAACTTTTTAGGTCACATGATATTAGCACTAGGGATGCACCGATACTTTTCAGATACCAGTGCCGATACTTGGCATTTTCATGAGAACTACCAGGGTTGCAGCTGGGCTCTGGCGCTCCACCACTGTCCTGACATCATTAGTCTGTATTGTTTTAGAAAAACTGTCACATGACAATAAACAAAAATGTATCAGTACTTGTATCTGTGAGTACTTGGACCAGTATCAGTACTTGCAAAAATGGTATCGCTGGATCCCTTCATTTATATTTATAAAAACAAAATCATACATTAAAACAGAGATGTACAAATCCCAGGAGCTCCGTGTGCTCCTTACAAATGACAGCTGCCTCCTAACTCTTGAATGTTTCTCTAGTCTAGTCTTGGAGCTGGAAAAGTATCTGTACATGTACTGAGTACTGAGTACGGTACTTGGTATCAGTGCATCCCTAATTAGCACCATAGTTTCTCATGCCCAAGCTTTTTGTGAAAACAAACATGAAATCAAATTTTACCAAACATGTCAAGCCTCAAAATTGCATGTGCCTGTGAAAAAGGAAACCTGTCATGTGAGAAGTGTGTAGGGCAGCCATTCCTGACTTCTGAAAATGTCCGTTACCTGACTGTCATAATGATGCAATGGTTTCATTGTTTTCTGACTAACTGACCCAGAACTAATATAGAGATAAAGAATTGTATGCTTGTTTTTGGTCCCTACTGAGACTGATCAGTCTGGAAAAAGAACATTTAAGGAGATGGAGGCCAGCAATGGCAGGCCCCAAATTTCCCTCATGACAGGTGTACTATGGTTTTGGCAAACATAAAAGACACAAATGTGTGCAGTTCTGTACTCATGAAATCAGTACATGAATTATCATTTTTTTTACACGAGCACTCGAAGTACATTCATTGAGCTTGGCGTTATCTTCCTGCAATCCTATGTATATAGACTGGGAGAGAGATTGGCACAGCTGTGAGCTAATCAGGTGTGCTGCAGAAGGATGAGCTCATCAGTCTGCTGCTTCCCCTTTTACCGTCCAATCACAAGCTGGGGGAGGGACCCCTCTAAGACCTCTAAAGAGTCACATAAGTACAGCAGAGAAAAAAATCAGGTCTCCTGCCCTACCAGATCCGGCTGTACTGTGTAAATATCAGATCAGCTTTAAAGTGGATCTTACATCTTTTAATATAAGCTGCTTATAATTTGCATCGACTGTACTATACCAGTAACTTAACATTTAGCAATTTTCCCCACGTGTGGTACCCCCCATCGCTGTGGGTAGACCCATGTTGATTTATCCTCTGATGATAAGCTATAAGCGACAAGCCATAGAGAGTAAATCAGATCCAGGCACTGGCTCCCAAAGCAGCAACTGTCATCATTCATTTGTAACTATTGTAACTGCATTGTAAACTATTATATAACACATTGCCTTCAATAGAAAATACATAGAAATGGCATACTGTGCGGTGAGTATCACCCGATATCGTTCCTTTAATGGTGCCCTAGTGGGTCACCAACATTACTGGCACTGCAATTTTATTTCTTCTGTTTGTAGGGTGTGATCCCAATTACAGATCAGTCTGAAGTAGGTCAACTCAATGAAGCATCGATTCAATACTTCAGAAATTGCATTCTTGGCTTTACTACAAGGAGTCCTTTAAGTAGTTGTTCAGGCAAGTTTGTCTGCATTACATATGAGTCACACAGCACAATTGTCAAACTGATTTACATGTGGGAATTGTGTCCTAATCGTGCACTCCATGAAAATGATTTATCTGAACTATAAAGACATTATTTTATAATTATTGCTGACAGTTTAAGCATTAATAGTGCGTAATGCAGAACTCAACTCATATCAGCATATCTTTTGTCCTCTGTACTGTACTTTCAAGCATGAAATAGTCACATATAAATGGAATCTCCACAGTCAGCACACTATATGGGGAATAGCAGAGGTACTGCACTTCCCTTTTGGTTGGCTCGTTTGTTGTTTGCACCCTCGCTTCTCCCCAGCTGCTCCAGGTGTGTGAAATATCCGCTACCCCTCCGCTGTCAATTCTCTGACTGGATGGTATGTCACTACAGGATATACAAGTCTGGAGGTGGAACCACTGCGTATGGTGGGGGAAACAAGTATTTGACCCATCCGGACAGTTAACGCGAAGAGGTAGCATATTAACAACTTGGCTGGAAAGGTAGGTATAGTGTTTCTTCTATTACATGTATGACTTATCAAAGTGACCCTGGGGTAACTGGCACTGGATGGCACTAGTACCAGAAGGCACTAGTACTACCTAGCACTGGATGAGACTAATACGAGAAGGCACTGGTTCTGGCTGGCACTGGATGACACTGGTTCTGGTGCAGGCTGGCACTAATACTGGATGCCACTACTTCTGGATAGCACTGGATCTGGTACTGGATGGCAATGGTTCTGGATGGTACCGTTAGTGGCTGGTGATTGAGAGCAGGGCCCTCCTACCTCCTGTACAGTTAATTGTATTGTCTCCCTCAATTTTGTAAAGGGCTGCGCAAACTGTTGGCGCTATATAAATCCTGTATAATAATAATTAGGAAGCTATGACTTTCCACTCACACACCAACAACAGAAGACACTGGTTAAGCATTGGTACTGGATGATGCTGGTTCTGGTACTAGATGGCACAGGTGCTGGTTAGTGATTAGTAAGCTCTGCCTTTCCTCTCACTGGTGTATATTGCTCTCATCAAGCATGTGTTGAGAATACCTAACTTGTAACCTGTCAGTTTTATACATAGACACACACAATGTGCGCATTTGTGTTCATATATGTCTGTGTACGTAGCAAGAGGGGATTTTTTATGTATTTTCTAAACTTTTTTTCAGTTAACTTTATTTTTATCAAAAGGGGGCTAACATTGATGTCACTTCCATTGTTCTATCACATGTGATAGAACAATAGAAGTGACAGGTTCTCTTTAAGGGGACATTGGGGTCTATTAAACTCCTAATGCCCCTTTTGCACTACTATGAAGCTAAACAAGCTCGGATAAGAAATTATGTAAAGCTCGTTTGCTTCTGGTTATGATTTACTGCAGGGACAGCTGGGGGAGCAAATAGATGTTTGCTGATCCTCCTCTGCTCTCCCCACTGACAATGATGTTCCACCAGAAAGCCAACAGTTGGTTTAGGAAATGTAAACAAACTCCAGGCTGCTATGTGTACAAGATCGCACTGCTGTTGACTGACTGTCATATGACATACATCCACAGCAGCAAAAGGGTTAAATGTGTAACATATGCAGTGCACAGGGTACCATATAGCCATTCAATTGGACCCACGATCAGACATTTTTTCATATAAAAAGTACACTAAGAAAGTTTAATTACCTCAAATAGAGATAGTACAGTACTCTCCATGACAATACCTTCATCTGAATTTCTTTTTAGAAGGACAGTGGTCAGCACTTATTTCCCCAACAGTAAGATGCTGGCTCCAAGATGACACGATCATGTAAAATCCTAGCGTCTGTGCAGTTCTTGGCTACATTTACAAATGTCTGATACAGATCAGACCCCAGGTTACAAAAATTACAAATTTGCAGTCTGATCACTGGGGAAAAATAGACCAAGGAAATGCTCCCACCTGCCTGCAATAGACTCGTATAGGGATGCACCTACATGGAATTTTGAGACCGAAAACAAAAAAAATTGTCAGGCCGAAACCAACTTTTTTTTCCCCCAACCTTTTTAAAAAATGTTTAAATTATTTTTTAATTATTCTATTTTTTATTACATTTTTTACTTTACTGCTGGGGGCTCTAGGGAAATATCAGGGGTCTAAACAGACCCCTGATATTTGCCTTTTAAAATAGAAAAATGGATTGAGTACACAGCCTCTTTTTCTGCAGCCCCTGTTATAAATGAACAGGAAGCCTCCATACTGGGTGTTCCTGTCCATTCATACATTGTAGATATAATGTAAGTTACTGTGTACACAATCATGAATGAACAAGGAAGTGATGTAAATCACTTCTCATTCATGCATAACTGGAACATAGTAAGCACACTATGTCCAGTTATTAAAAAACACTGAAGGATCATATGATCGCTGAGAGTTTGTATACTGATCACAGCGCTCTCCTCCATTCAGCACTCTTCATCCTGACACAGGAGGCAGAGCCAGGAGGTGTAGGAGGAGAGCTCAGCCTCCTGTGACAATGACAGCTGTCACCATCCCGCACCGCTCGGCATCCTGACAGTTGTTAACGGCTGCTTGACCTACTGGAAGCTTCTCTCCTCCCTGCTGGGTGCCGGCCACTACTTCAGAAGGTACATAGACCAGCGCCCAGCAGGAAGGAAAGAAGCTAGAAATACACTGAATTTTCAGTTGCATTTTCAGCCGTCATGGTACTTTCAGCAATTTGCCAAAAGTGCCGTTTTCGACCAAAGTGTTTCCGAGGACGCTATTTCGGTGCATCCCTAAACTGATGACATCAGTTTACCAAGGCAGGCCAAAAAGCTACTTCTGTCCCCTCTGATTTAGTATTGATACTGTTATGT